TTTCGTGTCTGTTAGGAAGGATGGCTCCCAATCTGACGATTCATGAGGGTGATCAAATTACGAAAATCTCCGTGCACGGTCCCTTTAAGTTTCTTAAGAAATTTCATTGACAGTTGGTCAAATCTAAATAAGATTTATCGAATAGACTTGAAAAACTCCAAAAAGGAATAAGGGGTCGAATTTTATGGATTGTCCAAATGCCCATATCGACTAATATTTCAGATCCGGCGATGCTAAAGCTATACGTACTTTTTTGCGCACTGTATTTCCATAGCTTGACTAATTCTGAATAATTCGGATTATGTCGATCATATACTTTATTGCTTATTCTTTATCGCTTGTTATTTTAATTACTTCTATATTTCCGTGTTTAATTTTCACCTATTTGTTTTTATTTAATTATTTATTTACTTTTTTCCATAATCCATGCGTAACCATTTCTATACATATAGTTATCATGCTACCCTTTTCAGGTGGCATGTATTGGTAGCAACGAGACCTTGGCCCTGGTCCTTGACTCCGTTCATCAGGTATTATACTTCTTCATCTCTACCTCCACCTTGTTTTCTGGATTTCTTGACCCCTTTTCCTAAGCTCCGCCCCTTCACACGACTATTTTCTCACCTGTCGATATACATATAATTTTAGGTAATGGCACTCCACTCAAAGGTTCGATCGTCTGCCATTCATATAGGAGCTGATGAAGTGTACCAGGTGCTTTTTATCGGATACTGTAAGAATGTCGCCATTCACTACCCGGTCAGCTGACTTGATTGTGGGCTTGAGCTGGTTTTCAAGCGGAACGCATAGAAAGCATAATTTCCAGGTCACGAAACTATAATCTTTTCGAGAGTTTTCCTCTGGAGAGATAATTGATGACATTGTTTTCCAACAGGCGGGAATTACAGTATCCTGCTGCCATATAGCATCATTTTCAGCTTAGGTTTTTTTCTGCTACACGCATGAGTACCATTCACAAAATTAGAGAACTCTGAAGTCCCCCCTAAATTGCTGATTAACACTGACCCACCTGGGCATTGGGTTAGTTTGACCTCGAGCGAAGCCTCTGTGGCTGAAGGTCCGATCTCGATCCAATTTTCCGAGAAATCCTCTGTAAGTGAGGTAGTGAGACCCCTACGCAGGGTTGGTGGGATGTCAGGACCTGAAACTGGACAAAAAAGGAGCTCATGCCTTTGCTCCCGCTGCGACCGCTGCAATTCTTATTGATAGCAGCATACGTGGCGTCTGCGCTCTCTCGCTTGCGACGTGCTCTCTTCTGCCCGTTTTCCCTCTCCTCGCATCGCAGCATCTCCCGTCGTACAAGGGTCGACCTCACTTCGTTAAGAATTTCAGTGTTTCTATGGCGGTTCTGCTTTTCTTCGGTCCCTCTCCCCAATTTTTGTAATTTTTGTCCAATTTTCTGAACAAATGACACGGTAGCTATATTGCGCCCGTGCTTTCAGAACAAGGCAACTCGTAATAGGAGTACTGTGTTCATTTACAGATGGGGCAGTGCGATGCTGATCGGGAAGTGTTACCAGTGAAATACGGTAACGATACAAAACGTCTGATGTTCGACTACCTCCGTACTATCGCCACAAACATCACGAAAGCTTTTCCAAAATCGAAGGTCAGTAGTCCTTCAAAGGAGGATAGGTATGTTAGGGACGTTAAGGTCCAATCACTCCTGCGGAGGAGCCCAGGGCTCCTGTATAACTCACCATTTACCCGTATCATTTGATTT